TCCGAAACTGCCCACATATGTTTATATATGTATGAGTCCCGACGGTCGACCAAGTATGTATATGTGTCTGCATACATCGATGTTTGCGTTAGTACGATGACAAAACGACGAAATTTCCCCCACCACTTCCACAATAACACCAATACACGCAATCTACATAAACCCAAAATTTTTTAAAATTAATCAGTTTGTCTGACGATCGCTAAAGCGTGAAACCCAGGGTCACAAACTCACATCTATCCAACCAAATATATATATATATATATATATATATATATATATATATATATATATATATATATTTTCTTATTAAAATCCAAAGAATAATCTGCATTTTTATCAGCCCTGTCCTGGCATCTCAGTTTAATTCACGTTCCCACCGCCGTAATTTAGCTTCCCACTGCCTTTTCAATAAATACTTTCATGGTAATTGTTCTGATGAATTCTCCTCTATGGTAGCTATGAATTTAAGCGCAGTATTAGATTGACGCACGGTTTCATCATTTTTACATTTGAAATGGTTAGATGCAACCGTAAGTTCTATGCTAAAAGTTTCTTCTCTAGAATTTATTCCTCGTGCAACTGTTTTCCGCCTTCGTCCTTCCCGGTCAACTTTTTATCTTTAAAAATTTAAGTGTAATGTCAATCGTTTTCTTTTATCTTCTAAATTCTTGTTCTTCTATTGTTCTCCCTCCTTAATATTTTTCTCATAGTCTCTTACATTCACTTAACCACTTGCGTCTTAGTGACATTATTGCCTTGCTTCACGTCAAATGATTAAAAAATATATAATAAGATGAAAAACAAATAGTAAACGTTTATAAATTTGACAGAGAGGAAATATGGAGAAGAAAGGAAAATTCTGGTATTTTTATTTTTGCATTGTTTGCTTTTCATTGGTTAAGCAAACCTCATGTGCATCTGTCCTGTCAACCGCGTGCTTGTGCATAATTCATGTGTTCATGTGTATCTTAATTCTGGATTGTTTATGCAAGATTATAATGCATACTCGTTTGGGGGGGGGACTAGTAGTCAATTTTATCCAAGTTCGGTTGTTGTCCGCATGTTGATTTGAGAGTGAAAAGAATTTAAGTCACAACGGTTGTGTTTGTATAGAGATATTTTAAATTCTTTAATATGAATTTTATGGAAGTTAATGATATAATAAAGTATGCCTTACGTGTTATAGATGGTAAGATACTTATCAGAACTCCCTCTAAGTATTTCCTATGTAATGAATTATGTTCTTTTCTTTTTTTCTTTTTTTTTTTTGTTATATATAACTGATAACTGACATCCATGGCACCTTTGAACTAGAACAGTCTACCCCAGTGAACGAAATAAGGAGTTAAGTTCGACATTCCAACCACCTGAAGAAGGCCGGACCGTACAATGGCCGAAACGTTGTAATAAATATGGCGAAAAAGATGAGGGCAATAGTCCGAATAATGTAAATAGTGTACATAATACCTGATCTCAGAAATACAGACAGATACTGAAGGGCCGAAACGTTGTAACAAATATGGTGACAAAGAAGAGGGCAATAGTCCGAATAATGTAAATAGGGTGCATAATATCTCATCTCAGAAATATAACAGATACTGAAAGGCCGAAATGTTGTAATAAATATGGCGACAAAGATGAGGACAGTAGTCCGAATAATGTAAATAGTGTACATAATACCTCATCTCAGAAATATAGACAGATACTGAACTGCCGAAACGTTGTAATAAATATGGCGACAAAGATGAGGACAATAGTCCAAATAATGTAAATAGTGTGCATAATATCTCATCTCAGAAACATGGACAGATACTCAGTCAGCAATGATCTTCAAAAATTTAAATGTACTTTTAATCATTATCTGTCTTAATACTTTTTCGTTTACTTTTCACTCACGTTAATAGTGTTTATTTGGTTTTTTTTTTTTTTTTTTTTTTTTTTTTCTCTCATATTCCTTAGCAATCAGTAACATCTTGCGTTTTATTGGCTTTATTGTCTTGCTTGGAGTGAAATGATAAAAAAAAAACTTAGAGACGGAATAAGCAGTTTCAACAAAAGTAACCGGTTTTCCTCTATTTCATTGAAAAATAGTTATTTCTGGGAAACGAAAACACGAACTGTTGAAGAATTGTTGGCTGCTAACCAACCCACGCATAGAGAACGATTTGTGGAAGTATATAAAATTTAAAAATTATCTCTTCAATCATTAAAAAAAAAAGGTGAGCTTCTTTTGAACTTTTAGGAATATTCTCTTTTTACGTACTTTCTTGCCTTTCTTTTATTTTATTACGTAATATTGTAACCAAGAAACGGTTACTGTATGAGGAATAAACAAAATAGTGGTTAGAAATGAAATGGTAATTTTTATAAGATCAACAAAATATAATACTCGCCAGCGGCGTGAATTAGGTAAACCACTGCTAGTGGGGGACTACTTAGACAACATATTATCCCTACTTACAATAATGTCAACGTATTTATGAGGATTGAGACATACCCATAAGTCTTCATAAGTCACGGTATATAACACGTAATTTGTGCAAATTGTAAAAATTTAAAGACAGAATAAGTGGTTTCAGCAAAAGTAATTGTATTTTCTTCAATTTCACATGAAAATAGTTATATCTAGGAAATGAAAACACGAACTGTTCAAGAAATTTTGTTTGCTAAGCTACCCACGCATAGAGAACGATTTTGGGAAGCATATAAAATTTAAAATCTCTTCAACCATTAAAAAAAAACGGTGAGCTTCTTTCGAACTTTTAGGAACATTTTCTTTTTATGTGATTTCTTTTCTTTCCCTTTTCTTAATACGTAATTTGTGTAAATTCTAAAACTTTAGAGACAGAATAAGTGGTTCAACAAAAGTAACCGGTTTTTTTTTTTCTCTATTTCACAGGAAAATAGTTATTTCTGGGAAACAAAGACACGAAGTTTTCAACAAATTTCAACTTTACCCTTTGTGAGCATGGTCTTTCTTTTTTCTTTTTTTCTTTTCTATTTTTTCTCATTTTTTTTTTTATATTATTCTTATATTTTGCAGACATTTTTTTTATATTTTATCAAGGCTTTAAAAACGGACATTTTGTAATTATATATAAATATATACAAAACAGATATGACGCAAATATTGGAAACGAGCAAGTATGAAAAATGAATATTCATCGTGAAGTAGTGGATCAAAAAATATATAACAAAAAAGAAATTACTCTCTTAAATTTTCAAAAAAAGTTCAACTTGAGTGTTGTGTCTGTACGCTTCAAAGTTTGTATCCGTTAACAATAACACATTTAAAAAAAAAAAATATTTCGATTCGCATACTTGCGTATTAAAGAAAGACCTTATACAGCTTATAATTTTTAAAAACAAGGATCATAACATTCATCGAGTGATTTGTAGGTTAATGCATCTTTAAAATTTTGTTTGCGAAGGAATTTCGCCATTTTATTTCATTAACTTTACTAATCTACTTTTTGTATGAATGATTCATTGTAATATAAATTGAACTGCAACACATAGTTGATATCTCTTTTATCTTTTTTATATTATAATTATAAATAAATATATACAAAATAGATATGAAGCAAATATTGGGAAAGAGCAAGTATAAAAAAATGAATATTCATCGGGAAGTGGTGGATCAAAAAAATATATAACAAAAAAGGAATTACTACAAAGAGTTAACCGGTTATCTTTCCTTGGCTTTCAGAGACAATAGAAATATATGCACATTGAGTAAAAAAGGAAAAAAAATACTACCAGCAGTAGTATCTTTTGTGTACAGAGGGAAGGCTGTTTAGACTCAATATAAACGGACTCGGGAATTCTTAGAGGGTAATCCCAATGCGCTCTTTATGAAATGGTGAAAAATTAACCCAGTGGGTGACGTGGCACAATTTGGATTATTTATTAAGTTCTTTGGAAAAGTAGAACCGGGAATATTCACAAGCAATTATTTCTTTGTGTGTTGAACAAATCTTTTTAACATTTTCTAATATTATTTTTATAAGGACTGTTTTGCTTTAACTAACACTATTATATATAGTTTCTTTTTATTGTATTTTGAGGACTGTCATGTAAACCTACATTTCTAATAACCTTTTACAACCTTAACTCATTGTCATTTGTTAATACTAATGCTGAAGATAAAAGAAAAGTAAATAGTAGTTTCAACTTAATATTTTTTATTTAAGAAAACTAAAAAACGCAGCCCAAAAGCTAATATATATTTCTCTACTTTATGGATAAGGTGGTGTTGAATGACTGAACGTGTCAAAAATGGTTTGAAAAGTTTTGTACTGGTTATTTCTGGCTGAGAGATGCTCCCGTTCGTATAAAAGCTTTGAGATTGATAGTGATTAGATCAAACTAATCGTGGAGAAGAATTAAAATGATTATCACCAATGCATTTAAAATATCAAAATCAAAAACAGAAAATTATTTACACCAGGTTCGTTATGTTAGGAACTTTGATGTGTGGCCTCCATATATGCTGACAAAACTCTTTAGACAACTATAATTCTGTGTGCGATTCATTACTTATACACGTACTTTTTAAAACAAATCGTGACGATCAATAAAACGTAGATAATTTACAATGTTAAAGACCGCAAGATATCACATGATAAGTAAAAACGCAGAATAACAGCCCACAATCCAGGCGACAATTTACTATTTTAAATATGGCAGCAGTCACAAATGTCCTTGATGGAAGCTATATTTTTCAGTTATTAAAATATGATTATTAAAAATAACAATACAGAATTGTCCAGAATAGATAATATGAAATATCCAAAACAACTAATTATTAAATAAATAAAAATAAATCTTTAAAAAATTATCACTGACTTTTTTCACAGGCCAAAAGTCCTACAGATTGTTTTATTAAAGAATATAACTGAAACATTCGAAACAAAACAATATTTCTAGATTTATTTTCTGATCCTGTGCTTAATTTTACAATTAAAGACCAAGCAAGTCATCATGTTAGAATTAACAGTCCCTTGGAAAGAAAATATGGACGAAGCTCACGAAAGGAAGCTTGGGAAATATTTACAGATTGTAGAGGAATGTAAAAGACGTGGTTAGCGAGCACAGTGTGAACCGATTGCAACTGGTTTGGTTTGGTTTGATTTGTTTTACGGCATATCACCCACAATGGTTTATTTAATGCCGACAAAATTTCCTTCTTTTTTTTTTTCAAAAATGTATAGCTGGTAATATTTGTTTTTAAAAATGTATAGTTTGGTTTGTTTTGTTTTGTGACATATTAACCTCAATGGGTTATTTAATGCTGACAAGATTTTTATTTCTGGTAATATTTTCTTTTTTCAAATATTTCTAGCTGATACTAATTTTTTAAAGTATTTCTGGTATTAAAATCTATTTCTACACTTTCGTTGTGTTTTGAGTCAGGTTGTGGAGTCAACTATTTACCCATAGCTGGAACCCTAACAGGTGCTACCACCCCGGGTCAGGGTAGACCTGGGAACACCAGCGATTAAGAGACGGTTCCACGCTCCTCAAAACCTTCTGATCAGAGGCCTTGCTGTTGGAAGTAGTTTATCGTCTTACCCAGGACGCGGATGGAGTTTATCTTCATACCCAGGACGCGATTGAAATTGGTTGCAGAGGCTTTGCTGGGTGGTCTCTATGTAAGATGTTTGTTGCCAAAATTAGGTGTAACAAGTTTGGTCAATGGCTGAAAAGATCAAGTGATTGGCGGTCAGTAAGGAAATGAAAGGAAGTTGCACCTATTTTTATTGTTTTTTTTTTGTTTTTTTTCTTATGATTATGTTTTCTTTTGTTTTGCGGGTGGCGGGTAGGTCTTGGGTATGACCTAAAACTAGACCCGACAAGTGAGTCTCGACTAGGGGACAGAATTAGGGTACCCCGAATCATTGTTACCTAGGGGTGATCTCTGGCTAAGATCTAGCACCTGTTCGTCCGCCCCCTAACAGGGTTACGGTATTTTTTTTAGATGTGAACCTTGGATAGAAACATCACTGATGATGTGTACTAAAGCATCCAATATATGTATTTTACGAAATACTCAGATTTAATTGATTTGTTTTCTCCGGGAACATTTTATTAATCGGTACCACCCCATGCAAGGCAGCAAAGCCACTAAGACACAAGGTGTTACAGGGTGTGGAAGAATTAGGAACGGAAATATTAATAATGAGTAGAAAGAGGAAAGAGTAATCAGGAGGACAGTAGATAGCGATTGACATTGTATTCAAATTTTAGCAGATTAAAGTTGTCTGGAAAGCATGGAGCCGGAAGGAACTTCCACGAGCGAGAAGTGCGAGAAAAGAAACAGCATAGAATTTACGGTTACATCTAGTCAGCTCGATTCTAAATTGATGAGATCTCGACGCCAGTTTAGTACAGCACTTAAATTCATCAGTTTCATCTTCTCTTTAAAAGTGCAAATATTATGAGTTCATCTCATATTTTAAGGTTTCAAAGCATTAAGGTCTGGTTAAAACTGGCTTTAACGTTTTGTAAATCTTTCTTTAAAAAATGCTTTTTATGAATAAATTCAGTTATAAATAAGTTTCCAAAATATACGCGCTGTTGGAGAGTACTGCATTTATACCACAAAATGTACCACCACTTATCACAGCAAAGGCTGGTTTATATCCAAAGGTTGTAAGGCCCAATATATGCTACTAATAGGAAGGAATTTTCAAACGATTCAGTTGAACGAATATGGCTTCCAATTACACCATTGCATCGATCGATTAAAAGCGTCTCGAATTAGAGAAAGGATATAATATTCGATTAGAATAATTCTAGTTTGACCGCTAGTTTTGACCAGACAAAAATTGTCACAGAATGTCTAGGAAGATTTTCACTCAAGTGCCATATTTTCCAGATCTTTTATTTGTTTCTTATTCTGATATAGATTTGTTTGTTTTGACAGCATATCAAACTCAGTTGCAACAAAAATTATTTCTAATAATATTTTTCCAAAAAATGTATTGCTGGTAATATTTTTTTCCCAAAAAAGTATTGTTGGTAATGTATTTCTGGTAATATTTTTCCAAAAATGTATTGCTGGTAATATTTTTTTTCAAAAATGTATTGCTAGTAATAATTTTTTCAAAAAAGTATTGCTGGTATTAAAATCTATTTTTATACTTTCATAGTGTTTTGACCCCTTTTGGGGGGATTCCCTATTTGCCCATAGCTGGGACCCTAACAGGTGCTACCACTCTGGGTCAGGGTGGACGTGGTAACACCAGCAATTAAGAGGTGGTTCCACGCTCCTCAAAACCTCCTGATCAGAGGTCTTGCTGTTGGATGTAGTTTATCATCTTACCCAGGACGTCTGATATAGACATATACGTCCTAATTATTTTTTTTTTAACATACAACTTGTGTTAGCACGTGCGATAGCCTGTCTTCATCAGCTACCGACCAAGCGTGATATCACGGTTTCGGTGGCTATGGCGGGACCGCCACCCCTGGCGCCACCAGCAACGTTTGCCACCAGGCAGGGTATGAAGATAAGCTAATTGATCGTTCCTTTAAGTAAATTCTATCTGTAATGAAAGTTTCCTGAACGCGTTTGCCGTTATAGACGTGCTCGTAAAAAATCGTTATAGCCGACCACGCAAATATCTCACTTGCGCATGTTAGGTCGTGATGTTGCGTGCATTTTATTTGCTTGTTTTGATCTCGACCAAATCCAACTTGACGCGTGCTGAACAGTTTTTTGACTGCGATACGAAACGCTTTTCAACCAACGGCCAGTGATGCCTATATTTGAAAGGAAGGAAATGACAGAATGTCCCAGAAACCCACGACACCCAATCTCAATAGGCACACGTCCAACCATTTTCCATAACATTCGTCACGCAGTGACTGGGTACCGGTTTTTCTTTAGCTCGTGCGCCCCCACCCTGTTCTCTTCCCAAGATTATAATATTATATGGTTCAATACATACTGTAGTCGATTTTGAGTTTTTTCTTCTTTCCAATAATTACTCTTCCTGATGGAAAGAAAAGAGTAATTGTAGTTTTTGCTTGGACTCAGTGGAGATGGGGTACGCAATAATTAGGTAATACTAGAAATAAGAACTAAATTAGATATCCCTAAATATTGACAGTGAAACGAGAACAATCTATCTCCGTAGATTAAATAATTAATTCAGTTCGAAATTCGCTTTCGGCTACCCGGATCAAGATACCTCTGATGAAGTTTCGAGGTACAACGGATGAAAGGTTGTAATAACGACAACAAAATAAGAACAATAGTACAGTTGTAAATAATTAAAATTTCTCATCCCAGAAAATCAGATAAAAAATAAATGAGTAATGATTGAAAAAAAATACGAAGCAAAGAGTAGACAATAATTAACACTGCCCTCAGATATCGAACATTTTATTGGAAGAAACTCTGGTATTCGTCTATATTTCTGAGATGAGGTATTATATACACTATTTACATTATTCGGATTATTGTGCTCATCTTTGTCGCCATATTTATTACAACGTTTCGGCGATTCAGTATCTGTCTGTATTTATGTGATGAGATATTATGTACACTATTTACATTATTCGTACTATTGTCCTCATCTTTGTCGCCATATTTATTACAACGTTTCGGCCATTGTACGCCCCGGCCTTCTTCGGGTGGTTGGAATGTCGACCTGAACCCTTTATTTCGCTCACTAGGGTAGACTGTTCTAGTTCCACGTGCCACGTTTAATGGATGTCAGTCATCAGTTATCTCCTGTTAATTCTCCTCTCCAAGTTCTCCACTGCCTTAACCGGGTATTGAACTCACACTCTTTGGGTCCTGTCACTGGATATAACCAACGCCATGTGTCATTGAGGATATCTGTGTATGAATTTCTGGGTATTATAAACCTAATGTCTCAGCAAACATTTTTACCAGTGCTCATATTGCAATTTTTTTGCTGTTATCATTCCATGTTTTTACCAGAGCTCATATTGCAATTTTTGTTGTTATTATCGCTTTTATCTGGCACTCTTTATTACTGGTTCCCATATTGTATTCATTTCTATGCTTGGTCGGCTCAGGAGATTTTTGTGGCCTAGCATATGTGCTTATTCCTTAAGTTTACGAATTTTCCAATGGTTTTCTTTGTTTATGATCTCAACTTGATCCCACAGAGGGCGGTGATCTCCCTTCTCTCTCCATATGTGGTCAGCCACCTCTGATTTTTCCACTTCCCCTCGTATTACAGCTTTCTGGTGTTGTTGAAGCCTTACCTAAAGGGAGTGGCCTGTCTCGCATTTATATTTCTTTCCGCGACTGCACGGGATAGCGTACACACAGTCTTTAGTCGTGTTCCGCTCTGTTGAGTTTTTGATATACGCTAAATTATACCCTTGTGCAAATTAATTGAAACAACTGCTTTAATTTCCTTTCTTTCATCATGCGGTCAGATTTGAACCTACTGGAGTGAAAGGGTGGAATCGATTTCTATTTTTGCCTCAGATTAGTTCATTTGCAGTGGCGTGTAGTAATATGAATCTATTTTCGGGGTGTATGATGAAATTTGTTTGGCCTTAAAATATATTACATCATCCGTGATTGCGTAATGTTTTCATCACTCCTGGACACTACGGCCATTGTCTGCAGTGGACGTTAATCCAAGGAAGTGTACGAAAATTGTGAAGCTGCACGCACACACTGGCAAGCCTTTCCAGTGATCAAATCAAAGATTGACCCCAAAACTCTCCTGATTTAAATCCAATCCAGAATCTGTGTCAACCTGCAAGGAGCAACTTCGTAGAATGGATATACGAACTACTAACATGTGTTATCGGTCATGTTTCATTAGAAGAATACGAAATAAAGGAAAATAATAACGGAATTCGTTTTGTTTCAACTAATTTGCACAAGATATACGCAATTTAACGTATATTAATAGTAAAAAGAATTCTTTTTTATCTGTCTATATATCTGAGATGAGATATTATGATTACTTGCATTATTTACATTAATCGAACTGTTATCCTCATCTTCGTTGCCATATTCACAACGTTTCACTCGTTGTAAC